TTTTTTTTTCCTTGCTTAGATTTGGTCCCAAAAATTTCTCCAGTAGTTTTCTGGCTACTTTCTCTGTTTCTTTTTCTAATGACTCTCTTCTTTAGGAAATGTGTCTTAGACATTTTGAGAGACTATCTTGAATGTGAACTTGCTGACAAACGTGGCGCACAAGAAGAACTGTACTTGGACCGAACGCGCATTGGCGCGCTTTACCCTATTGGAGTCCCACATCAAGAGAATTACGTAGATTGTGGACTTTACCTACTTCAGTTTGCTGAGGCTTTTTTGACCAAGCCACCTGTTGGAAAGGTCAGCTTTTTTTGTAGGATTGTTGACCCATATGTTTTCAATTACCATTCAGATGTTGAAACATGGTGCTCGTTGGCGGGAATGGTATCCATGGTTTGATCACTCCATGTTCTTCATGCGAGAGAAAATTGGTAAACGTCTGAAAGGACTATGCAGTGCGAAGGTTGGCTGTTGACTCTCAATATGCCTTTAATATAATCTATATATCTCATTTGAGTTAACATGGTTTGTTATTGCAGGCCTGGCAGCGATTGGAAGCCTATGAACATCAACAGGGACGTGGTATTAATATAGAAACTGCAGCACTGATGATTGATCGTAAGTGCTTTGTTTATATTTATTGCTGTATCGATCGTTTGCCGTTGCTTTCAAGTCTTATAGTTTTCTTTCTGCTGAAGATTCTGCATATGAGAGCCGCTTTTCTCCGCTTTGAAAACAAGCTTTACGTTTTGGGCGGCATTATTCATTTGAAATTATCCATCTTTAGTCTACTAGCTTTATTTATGTTGAGAAATGTGCGAGAATCAGATTTTGTTATACTTCGTTGTACGTTTCGGCAATTCATTGTGATAAGTTAAGCGAACTTTTCTGGAAGTAAATTCGTTGAGCTATACAATTTCCTTTAAAAAAGTGACATAATTGGTACATCTTTTAGGGGCACGAAGGCCTCGACGTCATAGTGAGACCCGACTGCACGAGCCACACCCAAGGGCACGAAAGCGCACCCACTCTGAACCACCGAATATCAAAAAATGCGCTCCGCCTGCGCCAAGAATGGTCCCGTAACTTAGCAATTGAACAAATTTGATAGTGATCAACATGAATAATCGGCATTTGTTAGTGAAAATGCTGAGAAGTTCCGTGGAGGCATCTTACCTCACGTGTATGGCACGTGTAACTGTTTGCATATATCGTTGCTTGTTGTCATATACTAGTTACTATTCCTTTTTGTTGAGGTTGGGGTCAAGGATGCAACAGGAAGGGTACCTTTCCCCTGACCTTTTTTAGCTGGAATCGATCCGACTTAAATCAAGTAAAATCTTTATCTCTTGAGAAGGATAATACAAAACGAACATTTTGCTCATAGAATCAGAACATGTTACTTTTCTTTCTCACCTTCCTGGCTGCGCATCTTGATTGAAACCTTTCTAAGCACACGAGTACCATATGTGAATCCTTTCATAGATTTGTACTATCAGAATATTGTCCCGGTTGCTAACTTTCAAGCTTCTTACGTCTCATTGCATGTCCATTGAAGTAGTTCACAAAAATTTTTGTAGGATTTATATGAGAAAGATAGCGTAGCAGTTATCTTGATTTGCGACACGTTGTCGTAAACTAGGGTGCGCAGTGTTCCATTGCGGTAAATGTTGTTTAAGGAATGACGATAAAATTGTCATCATTTAAAATTTTCATCATTTCTTGTTGGAATGTTGCGTTTAAGATCATTGCAATTTTTA